CACACAATGCCTCGTAGACCACTGTAGGTACAGCCGAACGTTCCCACCTACCTGGTCTCGATAAACTGATTTATTTCGACATCATTGTATCGGGCCGAAGTCGCATCTGTTCAGGCGAATTTCGTAGCCGAGAGAAGTCCATGATTCCTGGGTGCCATTGGCGAAACCTCCGCGCACTTCGATGAAATATACACCGCCGGTGCCGACCTTTCTCCTTCTTCTTTCTGCTCTTCCGCCTTCCTCCATCTTTTTGCCTTTTTCGCCCTTTTTATCGCGATATCGTCGGTCAAGCAGTATCGCGTCGATTCAGCGTCTTTATTCCTATGGCAACATAAATAACGGTAAAGGGAACCTTTCTTCTTTCCTCGTAGGAAAGGCTCCCGATGCTCCGTAAGAGTTCCACGTTTCTCGTCGTAAAATTCCTCAAAGTTGCGAGCATGCTCTTCGCTGTACAAACAAGGAGATCCCTGACTTATCGCTTTTTTCCAAATTTTATTTTTATCCAGTTCTCGCGGATCTTTCGTTACAGTGAAAATTTTGCTATGCATCAGTGTACGTTTGAAAATTCGATCACGAAACGATAGTGCACAGTCGATCACTCGCTGGATGGATGTAACGAGCCTGCGGGCGCCGCGACGCTGACGTTAACGTCGCAGCGCTACCTGAGAAACGGAAGATCCTCGCGGGACCCACCGCCGGTAGAAGGATGCACCTCCTGTCAGCTCGTAGGAACCATCGTGTCGTCGACCCTTTCAAGAAGAATACGCATTAATTTATATCTGCATACGTCGAGCATTATTATGTTAATCGCGCGGGGTGCCAGCGTCGTTCACGTTCAACAGAACGTTCCGCGTTCGATCTTCCTATGCCCTCGAGTGCTCTCGATTAAACGCGTTCCGTCATTTGCGGCGAAGGACACTCTCTCGCATGGGAAAATCGTCGGAAAGAAACTTGCACGGAACGAAAATAGTGTTGTGTCGGAGCAAACGGTTTTTAACACAGCCTTCCCAGGGTCGGCGAAGTTCAACCCTTTCGAGTTTCGTCGGTTCCGCGGCGATCTCTCGAAGGGACAGGCGGAGCAATTAGGCGTGTCATAATTACCGTCACGCGACTCGTTTGTCGGTCAAACGAGGACCTAAAAGCCGCGAGTAGAAGGTCGGGATGGAACATCGCGGAGACATCGAGGACTCTTAAGCGTCGCGGAGGATTTATGAAATTTATCCGGCAAATTGATCGGAAGGATTTGCACAAGTGCGCGTTCGAGAGTGGTTCGAGGGCTCCTTGCGTTTAGATTGACAGTATCCATCAGGAAACTCAGTCGCGGCCACCCCATCGGCTGAATTTGTATATCGGAAAAAACAACCTCAGGCGCAATGCAGACCCTTTTCCGGTACAGTGTGCTCGTTCAAACACGGTATAAATAGAATTTTCATGGGAGTGCGACAAGGTAGAATGAAACGTATAGATAGGATGCTCGTCTGTTTTCGCAGTTTTCGATTTAAGCAGTTCAATAACATCGCGGTGTAGATAACGTCCGCGAGTCTACGGACTCTTCGTCGACTTTCACGAAATTCCTCCGGGACTTGGTAAAAAGAAACGCGTTCAACCGGCCCGGGCTGTGCGCGCCCGAATCAGACGTGTCTCTCGACTGGCGCGCTTAAAAATCCCTGAATGTACCCGCACCCATCACGAGTCACGGGGGTATTCGTTGGAAAAAAAAGTCAGCCCGTATCCAAGGCCTGTACTGCACCGACACCTTCGACAAAACGTCTAACTGCTCCTCAGCGAATACCCTCATGAACCACTTAACGCGACCAGCCAGTTCGGGGATACTTCGGAAACGGGAAGGCAGGAAACGACGTTCGAATCTGCGAATCCTTTTTACTTCCCGGCTTTTTGCTTTTTTCCAAAATAACTTCGCGATCGACGCACTTCCCGCGGAATTAGACTTCAATTTGCGAGGCTACCGACTTTCTTTTCCGGGACTCGTAAAAAAAGCTCGTAAAACGTGGCCTCGCTATCCCGGAACACGCGCCGACCAATCCCAGCGGCGGGATACTACGTTCTTCCTCTGTTTCCCCCTCGCAGTCGCTAACGATTTATTTCGACGAGCTTCTCGGATTCGATATCAACGACTTTTCGGCCCTTCGGCCGTGCCACAACCCTTCTCCTCCGGGGCTCGCTCGTCTTCGTCGCTCTCGGGCCGAAATCACGAAGGCAAAGGAGGTGTCGCGCGTACGACACGCGGCAAACGCCCCGTGTCCTCTTCGTCCGCTTTGTGGCTAAGCGTTCGTTCCGAAATTTGGGTTACCGAACCCCGATTAACCCTTCGTGCGACCACCGTTGCTGTGACCTGCTCGACCGTGAGCAACGGACACCGTGGTATTGTCCTGGAGGAGTTAATATTGTTTGGATAAACTGGAAACGGGTGTGCGAATTAGTAGGAATTAGTTGGATTGTAAATAACCCGGGAAAAAGGAAGAGTTTGAAATATTTTTCATTTTTATAAAGGATTAAGAGATTTCTCGCGTTTACCGTGTCTCGAGTCTCGTTTCGTTTCTTCGCCGATTAGAGGACGCGATAAGAGAGTATAACCTAGGAGCGGGGTTACGCGAGGTAGAGGAGAGAGGTTGGACAAATTTTCGGGAAATTTTGCAACGGCGAGAGAAAATGGTCGCTGAATCGCGAGCAATCGGATGAGTAGCGAAGAATGTAACTAGGAGAGCGGAGGAAAAAGGAGGAAGCAGAAGAAGGCGAGAGCTTCGCTTTCGGTCGAAGCAGGTTCGCAGCATCCCCTTGTTGCTTAGGCATCACACGAGGGGTTGCAGCCCGGTCTACTGCGCCTGCGCGTGCTTCTATCTCCCCGCCCCTCCCGGCGATCTCCCACCACTCCAGAAACGCATCGAAATCTTTCGTACTTCGTCTTGTACTCGGTCAACTAACTCACTCGCGTCTCTCTCTCTCGTTCGCTCTCTTTTTCTTTCTCCGTTACCGTCTCGTTTGCTTTTTCTCGCACACACGCCGGCGGAGAGAATAAGAGAGGGAGAGTAAGAGACGTGCACGAACGTACGCTTCGGTTCCCCTTTCCCTTTTCCCTTTCCCTTTCCACCGATGGTCCTGGGTATATCCTGGGTTCCCGCCATGACGAACGGGATGACACCCGAGAATTGCCGAACAGGCCCGAATCGCGACCGACGGCCGAAACGCGGGCAGCTGCGACTCCGCACGGACAAAGAATACTCTTGGAGCATACAGTCACCGCGCGGCGAGCACACTCACCACGGGGCAGTCCGCCGAACCAAAGGTACAGTGTTTTGATGCGTCGTTGACGAGAAGCCGGTCGACGTTTTGCCTCGTAAACGTGTGTTGCGTGTTTCTCGGTATTATTCGGCGAGGATACACCAAGTGCGCACGTAGAACGAAGCTTGGAACGTGTACGAACGAGGGAGCGCGAGAGGAAACGAAAGAAAGCGCGAGCGAGTGAGCGAGTGAGTCGATAGGGAGAAAGAAGAAGAGCGAGCGAGAGAGAGAGAGAGAGAGAGAAAGAACGAGAGGGACGGAGCGACAGAGGGAGAGGGAGCGAGCGAGAAAGAGAGAGAGAGAGGGAGAGAGCGAGAAAGGGAGGAACGGTGTGCGTGCGTGCTCGTGTGTGCGTACACGAGCGTGCGTGAGTTAGGAGCAGGAATATTAAAAGACGACGCCGGCTCTAGGTGATTTCTCGATCGACGCGCGACGATTCGTGTGACCGGTGAACAGGAATGAACAGGAACGGTGCTGTTGTTGTTGCGACCAAGCGAATGGACACGTTTTTTGGACGGCTGTAGTAAAAACACGTGTATGTCCCACTCGTGGTTCGTCGTTTCGATCGTTTAGTGTGTTGTCGATAAAAAGGAACAACAAGGTGATCAGGGAGTATATGTATACATACGGTGATACGAAACGGAGAAACAGTGGGGAAAGAGAGCGAAAGCTCGCGGTGAAAGCAAATCGAAGGGACAGGATAGGGACACGACTAGCAGCAGGAAGAACGAGCACGGTAGAGACAGTGTCAAACGGTTCCCGCGACCAGAGTTCCTTCGTCTCGTCGCGTGGATATTATCGGTGATCGTGGATGAACGTTGGTTTTTCACGCCCCCGAGGTCGAGACAGCGGCGACCGATCGAAGAAAAATTTGGAATGTAACGCCGGCAGGGCAGAAGAACGGCAACGGTAGTGGCAGTAGTGGGTCCGCGGCTACGACAGCGACAACGGCAACGGCAACGACGGCGACAGGGCGACCGGACGGGTGGAGTGTGCAGCAAGAGGGAGAGAGCGCGGAGGATCACTCTCGCTTTCGTTCGGCTCTCCCTCTCTATCCTTCCTTCTCTCCTCTGTCCCTCTCTCCCTCCCTCTCTTTCTGCTTCTCTCCTTTCTCCCTTGCTCGCGCAGCGGCTGCTGCTGCTGCTCGTCCACTAGTAGGAGAACGGAGAAAGAGAGAGAATACAAGAAAGAGAGCGAGAGAGCGCCGGAGGAAGAGAAGCGTCGCGCGGAAGACAGAGCTGGAGCGTGTGCCGGCCGAGCGACAAAGAGAGAAACAGCTCGTCCAACCGAAGAAACCGAGGAGAAGGAAAAGGAGAAGGGTAAGTGCGCGAGCTAAGCTAACGTTTCCGTGGATCTACCGATGCGCCCGATACCACCGATTCCCTTCGATAGAAACCATGCTCTCTCCCGATAGCTTTCGTTCTTCCTTCGTTATCGTCGCGTCGTCTTCCTTAGTCCCGTCATTGTCGTGTTATTGTTGACACTGGGGGATGTTTCGATCGAACGTGCACGTCGCGGGGTAAACCAAGGTTCGCGAACCACGCGAATCGAAACGAAAGCGAAGCGTGTCGTCCAACTCGAATCTCTTTTTCCCTGTGAACGACCATGCGGAAGTTGCCACCCACCACGCGTTTCCGTCGTCCTGGTCTTTTTGCTACGTCCGTCGATCATCACCACCGCCATCACCATCGGCACCACCTCTACCACAATCTCACCACCACCCCGCTACTACCACCACCACCCCCAACATCGACATCACCACTACCTCCACCACCACCACCACCACTACCACCACCACCATCTCCTCGATCACCACCTCCACCACTACCACCACCACCATCTCCTCGATCACCACCTCCACCACTACCACCACCACCATCTCCTCGATCACCACCTCCACCACTACCACCACCACCATCTCCTCGATCACCACCTCCACCACTACCACCACCACCATCTCCTCGATCACCACCTCCACCACTACCACCACCACCATCTCCTCGATCACCACCTCCACCACTACCACCACCACCATCTCCTCGATCACCACCTCCACCACTACCACCACCACCATCTCCTCGATCACCACCTCCACCACTACCACCACCACCATCTCCTCGATCACCACCTCCACCACTACCACCACCACCATCTCCTCGATCACCACCTCCACCACTACCACCACCACCCCCTCTACCTCACCACCATCACCATCAGCAGCAGCAGCAGCAAAGCACCACCACCACCACCACCACCACCACCACCGTCGCAACCGCCACCACCACCACCACCAGCAGCACCACTACCACCGCTGCCACCACTACCATTGCCGTCAACGCCTCCTGCTAGCCGGCGGCGATGCACGGTAGTGTCCTCGAGCACGGCGTGCACGCATCGTGCTGCGAATGTTTCACGAGTCTCGCGCGGTGCGTCAGGCAAAAACACGTTGTGTCGTCGTGAGACGGGTGACGGGCCAAAGTGCATCCCTTCGAGATTCCCGGTGTTTTCGAGGCTCGGCTCCGACGGTTCGTCGATGCCACGCGTAGTGTATGGGAAACAGGTTCTTAAACACTCATTCTCTTCTATATAAACCCGCGCGCACTACGACCTACACCGTACACACGTAGACCTACGTAGAGAAAGAAAGAGTGAGAGAGAGAGAGATCCTTTTATTTTGTTTTTCGCCTCGATTGCGCGTGAACCTAGCTTAGCCTGGCTGGGAACAAACGCCGCTTTGGTAAACAGCATTATCGACTACACACGGAGTGCCCTTCGTCGATGGTGTAGAGTTTGGTGCCGGCTCGCCTGTGTGGTGCACGAAACGGGGAAAAAGGAAACAGAAATAACTGATTTTCTAACGCTCGAATCCTGCAGTCACGGCTCGCGTGTTCCTCGCTATACATAGTGTTTTCGTATCGCCGCGTACGTAACGTGTGTTTCAAGAACTCGCGGGGTGATAAACGCGATAAACCGCGTGGTGCGGCACACGGTTCGTCGTAATTTCCTTCCATTTCCCTGTGTACGAAATTTCTGCCCAACAGCCGCTCTCGGACTCGAGCTGTGGCATCGGAAGTGGGATATTGTGTGGCAATGGCTCGAGTACACCACGAGGAACAAGCACGAACAATTTGACCCTGATGTATATAGACGCGTGTATCGTAGAGAGAAAAACGCAGCCCGGTAATAACGTGCAATTTGTAGTTTATGCGATAATAATCGACGCGTACACACGCGATCGACTTCGGGATCGTTAAGGGTTGCCTTTACGGCCGCGCCGGATCGGTTCTCCTACGGCGAGGGAGAGCAAGATCGATTTCCATCGAGCGACCTTACGCGTGTTTCCACGTTACGCGAAATTCACGGGGTCCGTTGCGAACCGATCGCGTAATCGTGTTCCCCCGTTCGTCGTGATCCCTGTCCCGCGAACGCGCGTGGGTCCGAAAACGGTGGGTCGAAATGGAAAATTAACGGCGCGTTTGCAACGACAGGAATGCAAAGTAGCCCGAAGGAGAAGCTCTCTCTGTTTCGCCGTCGCGAATACGATCAATTCCCCTTTCTCTCTCGCTCTATTCCCGTCTCCTTCCTTTTTTCCTCCGGTTCCCTTTCCTGTGGGTGTTCCTTCTTTTTTGTGTCGGCGAGCCGCGCTCGGGGGCGGGGAAGGGGGGGGGGGAGGGGGCGAATTTCGGCCTACTCGCTTCACGGAACGGCGGAACGGATCGGAACGGACAAGGAACCAACGTCGTGGACCGCGAGAACAACGGGCGCCAAGAGATTTACGGGCACGCACAGTATCCCTTTTACCCGTTCCACGGATTCGTTCCTTTTTTATCCCTCTTTCTCTATCTTTTTCCTTTCTTCTTTCTCCACCATTTTTCTCTTGCCCCTTTTCGGTCATAGCTGTCGGAACCGTGCGTTTAGCTTCTCGCCGGCGTTGCGAGCCAAAGGGTTGCGAGCGAAGTTGGCCGCGAATACGCGTAGCTCGCGACGAAAGTGCCCGGCGCGAGTATAGGTTAGGTCGAGACGCGAGAGTCGATCCGCGGAACGTTCGAGAAACGATCGGTTGTTTTGCTCGCGCGTACGAAATAGAGAACAGTTTTATCGTGTATTTTTCTTCCTCGAACGTTGATAAATGTATTATTAGCCGGACCGCCGATACCGGAATCTCTACTAGAGTTGGACAAACTATTAGGTGCACGGACGAGTGTTGCGTGCTCTTGTAAACAAACCGCGTGTTTATTTTCGTACGGTCGAAATTATTTTGACCCTTTCTCGTCTGTCGATGCGAGTACCGATCCAGAATTTCCAGAGCCGTTGGCAGGTGACGGGTTTCCAAACTCGCGATCGATATCGACGATATCGTCGATATCATCGATACTCGCACGGAGTACGCGTGTCGACGTCGTCGCGGAAAGCGAAAAAATACGGTTCCGGCAACTCCGGAACTCGGTTTACATCGTGTGTCGGAACGCGAAGAAAAGGCTGCGCAGAATACGCGTTTTATCGGCAGCCATTGCTGTAGTCCCGATAGTTTTCTCGCGTTTATTCGCGCGGCTGCATGGTTTTGGCTCGATAGATCGAACACTCGCGCCTAAATTCGGACGGTTCCGCGACGAATTCGCCAGACGACGACGAGTCGACCGTACGCGATACGCACACACGCGTTAGACGCATTGGTCGTGCATCGTGATTCTCTCGCGTGTCGAGACAGTTACGCGTAGTACGCGGAAAAATTTTCATATTATCGCGTGTTTTCGACCCATTCGTAACCGCCTTAACCACCGTAACCGTTGCTCAGTGGCCCGATGTGTGTTCCATGATCTAGCCGAGCGGCAGGGAAGGGGGAGAAAAAAATAAGAAGGAAAGTAAACGAACGGAAAGGGCGAAGCAGTTGCACGGAGTATCGAACGACGCCGATAAAGAAAGAAAATATACGCGGTGCCGAGAGCCGTAGAGGCGTACGCGGGGCGAACACCTGTCCAACGTAGAAACAGGTATCGACGGCGAAACGTTGTTTTCGAAGGATCCGCGGCCGGCGATCGGGCCCAGAACGCAGCGTACACGGTACAGTTTCTTCTTTCTTTTCTCTCCCTTTCGTGTGGTGCGCCCTTTTTCGAAGCCCGCTCTCTGCGTGGGCTGTCGGACGTCGTTGCGCGCATTAATCCGTGGTTTAGCGAACCAATTTAAATATCAGCGGCGCGCTCGACGCAATTTTATATCATTTCCGATATCATGTGCTTGTGTGGGTGGGTTTAACAGTGCGCCCGCCCCCCTTACCCCCACCACTGTCCTCCACCTAGACGGACCGTTACGCACACACCTCCTCGCACGAGAATGCCACCGCTGCCGTTTCTCAACCTATAACGCGCATCGTCTTCGACGATCGTCCCCGGCATCCACGCACGCTTGTCCTCGTTACCTCGTGATCTTACGCTCCTCTTTTCTACCTTCGTTTCTCGTCCCGTTCTACCGTTTCGTCCGGCGTATGCCTCGCCGGTGTACGCCGGTGTGTACGCGTGTTACGTCGTCGCCGCGACGTACGTTTGCGGTACATATCGTGAAAGTGCACGGGCGCATGCGCACTCCGGTGCTCTTACTCGCGCACGTGCGTGCGTGCGTGTACGTACGTGTCGCGCGGACTCGTGGTCTGCTGCGTGGCCTACGTCGGTGCACGGTGGTACAACACCAGCTGTGGTCCGCTTTACGACTCTCGGCCAACGTGCACACGCGAATACACTGGCGTACGCGCTCGCGCGCACCGGGCCGCGCGCACTCGCGCGAATCAGTGCGCACTCGAGCGCGTTCGTCTGCCGTCGAACACCGTACGCAGTGCCGTAAAAGCGTCGCTTGACCGATGCCCGCCCCGCGTCCCGTCCGAGCGATTTCGACGCCGGTGCACGCCAGCAACAAGTGACCCGCGCTCGTTCCTGGGAACCACGTTCGTTTACCCGCATTTTCGTTTCGTTTCGTTCCTCCGTCTCGGTTTCTCCTTTTATCGGCCGCGTATCCGCGTCGGGGCAGCCAGAGGCCAGCGGGGTGCTTTTAGACAACCGAGAGATGGCAGATCTGGGGTAAACGTCTAGAGAAAAAGATCGTCGAATCTGGGTCTTCTTGGGCGACACCGGTTCCAACACAGGGTGGAACGTTTTCGTCTTCGTCGTCTTCGTCATTGTCGTCGTCGTCGTGTCGTCTTCGTCGTCGTCGTCGTCGTCGGTGAATCGATAATCGTGGCGGTGGTGTACGTGTACGACTGTCGGGCAACGGTGTGCTTCGACAGCGAATGCACTCGCATCGAAGAGAGGTTATCAATGGCGTAGTATGCGAGACCGTAGCTTTCAGCGGATGAATAAGTTATATATTCCCGACGATGCTAGTAATCGCCGCTACAAAAACAGTATTGTTATGACTCGAGTAAGTGGATGACGTCAGTTATCACGGCCTCTTTCTTCGCTATTTATTGCTACTTAATGCGGGAGTAAATACCGTTTTATGATGCCCGGAGCTACGGTTTTCCTTTCCACGCTCTTTGCTCGATTTTCTTCGCCATGCACGACACTATCTTCCGCCATGCCGAGAACCGTGCACGCTTCGCGACGCTTCTTTCCCGATCGCGTTCGGCCCGTGCTCAGACATCGGGCCAATATTTATCTTACTTCCGATCCAGATAAACTTCCCCCGATTCTTCCATCGCGACACGCGAATCTTATCGACAGCTCGCGCCAACTTCACGCCTCGCTCGCATCCTCCACGCGTCGCTTCGGTCCGTCCACCCCGATCCGATGCGATCCACCCGAGCTTCCAAATCTTCTTCAAATTCCATTTTCTCACGATCTTCTCAACCATCGCCATCTTTTGCGTCCGATTAGTCGCAGCTCGTCCGTTTTCGCTCCACTTTCCTCCGATCTTTGCATCTTTCGCGTCCCGACTCCTTCCGTGCTAATAACCCATTTCCTGCCACGACTTTGTTACATTTCTTCGACCATGTTCCAAAGATTACTACGATCATGCGTGATTACACTGACGCACGTTTATAACTAAAATTGTAATATCTAGATACATAGGTATCGTGAGAATGATGATCGGGATCGATCGTGTGTATCTTTTCCTCGTTAACCACAGACTGACAACTCGAGCACGAATTTCACCGTTATTCGGTAATAGATTTCGTTAGTTCTCTAGTTTGAGCCTCGCGCCATCTTTTAATGGCAAACCTATCATAGTCTAAATCATCGTTTTCAGAACGTTTATCAAACGTTTGTTAAACGTATATTGAACGTTATCGTTTTAATCCTTGGTCTCCGCCATTTTTCTTTTAGTTTAATGTCCCCTT